GTTTCCCATGCTACCTCAGAGCCATTACTTCCTGCTATGCATTGATTTTCGTAAATTCCGGTATGAAATAATTGACAATTCGACTCTTCAGTCTGACAAGAAGTTGAAATATGGGGATTGTTTGGACGATTTGGTATGATTTCCTTTGTTCCATGTGTTATAAGTTATTGTCTTTGAGAGTTTTGTTTTTGTTGGGTTTCATTCGGGGGGCTATTGACATTTGTTGCAGTTGGACATGCTTATGGAATTCTTTAAAACAATTCATCCTGGGAGGTCTACGATGTGTGCACGCTTGGAACCAAAACACATGCAGATGAGTTGGCGTGATGAGAGGAATAAGGTTGATTGTGGGGTTTATGTCATGTGGCACATGGAGAGATATGTGGGGCAAGGAGTGACCAGATGGAGATGTGGCCTTACCAAAGGTAATACTACTCAGCTCAAGAAGTTGAGGTTGCGCTACATGAAGGAGATTGCAGCATCAGAGTACAACCTACTTAAGTGTTTCAATATCTCTCGGGCGTATGAGTTTGTTTCATCGCTCCCGCGCGGGTCCGTAGTGGTGTTTCATGTGCTTGTTGTCTTGAATTTTAATTTGAAATTGTTGCTAGATTGTGGCGTACATTTTTGCTTTGTTATATTGTCTACCATTGGTAACCGTATTTTGTTGTTGAAGTCACTTCTAGTTCGGTATTTATTCATTGGTTTGCTACGTGGGAGTGCACCCACGTTCTCACACGGAGTCCAACATGCCGGGTTATGGGAGCTCGATTGTCAGTTTATTTCTACTAAATTTATGTTCTTAAAATCTCCGTGTTTCTTAAAATCTTAGTGTCCATTATGTTGCGGGTTTCGTATGAAAATTTTAATTGGGGATACTAACTCAATACATTTCCCGGAGGTGGCTAGTTCAATATTAGGTTCTGATGTTTGTTGATGGCTTCGTGTGTGCACAACGGGTTAACTTTGGGAGCACACGCGTCAACATTTGAATAACTGACCACGCCACTATTTGTTTGGAGCCTTAGTACTGGGATTGATGTGTGGCCATTGGCGGTAGCGTGTGTGCATGCACAGCTAAAAATAGTCCATAAAGGATGACTTATTCACTACTAGGTTGCAGGGTTAGTAAACAAAAAAATATAATACATATATACGCGTGCACATTTGCGGTAAACTGTGTGCACATGAGTGTTTAATACTTTAATGAATTACGCATAACTCTCTATTCTAAGATGGCTAAAAACTAAATAAATTGCACAGTAGTGATTCATTGACTATAAACTTATAGGCCAAGTAATAAAAACTGTGTGTGCATAGTTGAACGGCTTAACAAGTCACGTCGACAATTAGCTTATAGGCTTATTAATCAAAACTGTGTGTGCACAATGATGTTCGACAATGTGCATAGCTGAGTGCTTAATACTTTAATGAATTACGCATAACCCTCTATTCAACTATTAGCTTGCAGGCTTAGTTCATAGAGATGTGTGTGCACAATTGCGTTAAACTGTGTGGATGTAGAAATAGTTGATAAATTTCACAAAGGAGGCCGGTTCAATATTATCTTACCTCCTTAGTTTTGAAATACACGAGTGCACAAGTAACTAATTATCAAGCATGGGTGTGTGTTTTTTTTCCTTTTTTTTTTTTTTTTTAATGAATCAAGCATGGGTGTTAATTGACCAAAATTAAACTCAAGTTACTAGTTTACTATTAGCGTATAGGATTTACTAGTTACAAACACGTGTGCGCAATGGTGGTTTTCAGTGTGCATGTCTCAACGGAATAAATTAGTTTCCCTGGGTAGACTTTAAATCAGGGTAGTTTAATTTATTTGTATACGGTTATTGTTAAATCCGTGGATGCACATTGGCGTTAAATACTGTGCGTTCACAACTGAATACATTTCAAAGATGGCTAAAAACTAAATAAATTTCACAGTAGTGATTCGTTGACTATTAACTTATAGGCCAAGTAATAAAAATTGTGTGTGCAGAATGGTGGTGGACAGTGTACATAGTTGAATGCCTTAACAAGTCGACGATTAGCTTATATGCTTATTAATCAAAACTGTGTGTGCACAATGATGTTGGACAGTGTGCATAGCTGAACAAATTAAGTAATTGACTAAACTTTGTGTGCACATTGATATTAGATAGTGTGCACAGCTGAACGAATTAAGTAGTTAACTATTACCGGATAGGCTTATTAGTTAAAACTGTGTGTGCGCAATGATGGAAGATAGTGTGCATAATTGAACAAACTAACTACCAAGAATGGGTAAAAATCAAAACTTTGACAACTATTTAATTCAACTTCAAAATGAGATAGTATTCGTAGTGTTGTGAACCATGCCGAGCTACTTGTCTGATAGGTCTTTTCTTTCTAGACAATTCCTGCTGTCGTGGCCTGGGCGGTCACAGGTAGCGCATGTCCTCACCTTTGTCCGTCACCACGGTGCTACCCAATTTTTTTTGGTTTGTATCCTTCTCGTAAA